AGGGGTTATAATTGTTTAATCAAGCTATCTTTAATTCTAAAAACAATGCTCATTTAAAAAAATTTAAATATGTACACAAGAAAAAAGAGCAAATCTGGTCTTCAGTGACTTCGTAAATGTGCTTAGAACATTGCAGAGGTTTGGCCGGGCATGGTGGCTCAAGCCTGTAATCCCAGCACTTTGGGAGGCCAAGGCAGGCGGATCACCTGAGGTTGGGAGTTCAAGACCAGCCTGGCCAACATGGAGAAACCCTGTCACTACTGAAAAATACAAAATTAGCCAGGCATGGTGGCGCATGCCTGTAATCCCAACTACTGTGAAGGCTGAGGCAGGAGAATCGCTTGAACCTGGGAGGCGGAGGTTGCGGTGAGCCAAGATTGCGCCATTGCACTCCAGCCTGGGCAAAAAGAGTGAAACTTCGTCTCAAAAAAAAAAAAAAAGAACATTGCAGAGGTGCTCAATATAGTAGACATCCAAGGCAGCCTCTCTCCCACCTGGCCCCTGCCCGCAGCCCTCCCCTGCAGCCGTGGGCAGGCCTCCCCATCCCCAGACCCTCCTACTCTGCTCCCTCACTCCCTAGATCAGATTAGTCATTTGCTCCCAGACACAGCATTTGCTTGTTAATTGTGTGGCTGGCCAGGCACACTGCCAACTCCTGGAGGAGGACATCGGTTCCTCTTGTACCCCACACCCAGCACAGTGGCCTAGTAAACATTCCTTGAATGAATCGTTGCACCCAGAGAGCAACTCCACTCACAGAGTGGTGACCATCGTTTCAGAGGGAGTGGATGTAATAAGGCAATAAAGCACAGTTTGGCTGGATGTGGTGGCTGACGCCTGTAATAGCACTTTGGGAGGCCGAGGTGGGTAGATCACTTGAGGTCAGGAGTTCGAGACCAGCCTGGCCAACATAGCAAAACCCCATCTCTACTAAAAATACAAAAATTAGCCGGGCATGGTGGTATGAGCCTCTAATCCCAGCTACTCAGGAGGCTGAGGCAGGAGAATCGCTTGAACCTGGGAGGCAGTTGCAGTGAGCCGAGATCACACCACGGCACTCCAACCTGGGCGACAAAGCAAGACTGTCTGAAAAATAATAATAAATAAAGCACAATTGGAAGATTTTCAGGAAGTTCCCCAAAATTTATACCAAGGAACCAACAGGAGAAAACCAAACCATTCATGCCGTACAGAGGTGTGGATAGGTATAGATGGAGGGGAAGTGGCTTGATTTGGCCCCTGATCAGAGAGTTATTGTGTCAGAAATCAGTTGCTGACCCTCTCCTTTGTGACCCATCTCTGGCTGCCGCTGCCTTAAGGTCATCTATGGGAGCCCCGAAGCCGTGCCTTTGTATGTGCGCTCAGACTCCCATGGGTTAGCCTCCAGCCCTAGCTCACACTGATAAACGTGACAAACCACATGAGGACACCAGGTCCATCTCCTCCCAGAGTGAGTGAGTTAGGCCCCACCCCACACAGGGTGAGGGCGCCTGGCCTGAGAAAGGGCTTGGTAAGAGAAGCCCCTGAGTGGCTGGGGCCTGAGCCCCATGGCAAAAGCAAAGAGCACTTAGAGTCCAGCAGACCCAGGTTTGGAGTCTAGTTCAGCCTCTTAACTAGCATGGGCATCTTGGACCACTGTCTTCAATATAAGCCTCAGGTGTCTCATCTGTAAACGGGTGAGAATAATTACATTGCAGCCACATTAAGGAAGAATATCCTGTTTACAAAGCACGTGGTGGAGAGGCAGTAAATGGGAGCCGTTTTTTTGTTTTGTTTTGTTTTGTTTTTTTGAGGCAGAGTCTCACTTGTCACCCAGGCTGGAGGGCAGTGGTGTGATCACAGCCCACTGCAGCCTCAGACTCCCAGGCTCAAGTGATCCTACCACCTCAGCCTCCCGAGGAGCTACGACTACAGGCGCGTGCCAGCATGCCCAGCTAGTTTTTTGTATTTTTAGTAGAGACAGAGTTTTGCCATGTTGGCCAGGCTGGTCTCAAACTCCTGGGCTCAAGCAATCCACCCACCTCAGCCTCCCAAAGTGCTGGGATTACAAGCATGAGCCGCAGCGCCCAGCTGCCATTATTTTTTTTTTCTTTCTTCCCCTTCCACCCCTGTCCCCCCGACACACAGTGTCTCAACCTGTTGCCCAGGCTGGAGTACAGTGGTACTATCACAGCTCACTGCAGCCTCCAACTCCTGGGCTAAAGGGATTCTCCTGCTTCAGCCTCCCAAGTAGCTGGGACTACAGGCATGCACCACTATGCTCGATTAATTGGTTTTTTAAAAATTATTTTGTAGAGCCGGGCACAGTGGCTCACTGTAATCCCAGCACTTTGGGAGGCTGAGACGGGCAGATCACCTGAGGTCGGGAGCTCAAGAGCAGCCTGACCAACACGAAGAAACCCTGTCTCTACTAAAAATACAAAAAATTAGCCGAGCATGGTGGCACATGCTTCTAATCCCAGCTACTCGAGAGGCTGAGGCAGAATTGCTTGAACCCGGGAGGCAGAGGTTGCGAGATTGTGCCATTGTACTGCAGACTAGGTGACAACAGCAAAACTCCGTCTCAAACAAACAAACAAAAAATTATTTTGTAGAGATGGGTCTCACTATGTTGCCCAGGTTTGTCTTGAACTCCTGGCCTCAAGCCATCCTCCCACCTTGGTCTCCCAAAATGCTGGAATTACAGGTGTGAGCCACTGCGCCCAGCCTGTAGCCATTATTATTAGGTAATTTTAGTAGATATCTCTACCATAAAGGGCCTGTGAACTTCTAGGTAACCAGTAAGGCCAGTGGTGTACTGCTTTGCTGCCATAGATTTTTGTTTCCTAGTTAATACCCACGGAAACATGAATCTTACCTCCAGCCCTGTGGTCCCCAGCACAGAGATCTTCAAAGCTGGCTGCGCAGCAGCATCACCTGTGGAACTTACGCTCATGCTATTGTGATTGCCCGGGTCGAAGGTTGGCACCTGGCCTCCTCCTGATGCACAGGCCCACCCACAGAAGGGATCCACTGAAGCCCACCAGGTCCGGAAGTACGAGGAACCCCCAGCACCCACCTCATTGTGGAACTCACGGTCCAGCCACTCTCAGGATGGATCACCACCTTCATCAGAACCATCTGAGCAGCTTATATAGCTTTCTGGGGACCCAGCTCAAACCTGTTGAACTGGAATCCGTGAGGGTGAAGCCAGGAATGGGGTTCTAACAAGCTGGCCGCAGTGCATACCAAAGCATTTATGTTCTGCAGGAAGACGTGCTGCCTGCGTGAGTGGTGCGTGCAGGTGCTGGCTTCCATAAAGACACTAGAGATTGGGCAGTGTTTGAAAGATGGTGCAACAGGCCCCTCACCCTGGGGCCCGCGGGCTCACCACTCTGCCTAAGGAGTTGCTCTGAGCTCTCGCCCCAGCCCTTGTACACAGCAGTGCTGCATTTGAACCTTTCTTTAATTTTTTTGTTTTTTGTTTTTTTTTTGAGATAGAGTCTCACTCACTCTGTCACCCAGGCTGGAGTGCAGTGGTGTGATCTCAGCTCACTGAAACCTCCACCTCCCAGGTTCAAGCAGTCTTTTTGCCTCAGCCTCCCTTGCAGCCAGAATTAAGGTGCCCACCACCATGCCGGGCACATTTTTTTATTTTTTTGAGACGGTGTCTGGCTCTGTTGACCAGGCTGGAGTGCAATGGCATGATCTCAGCTCACTACAACCTCTGTCTTCCAGGTTCAAGCGATTCTCCTGCCTCATCCTCCAGAATAGCTGGGATTACAGGTGCTCACCACCACGCCCAGCTAATTTTTGTATTTTTAGTAGAGATGGGGTTTCGCCACTTTGGCCAGGCTGGTCTCGAACTCCTGACCTCAAGTGATCCACCCACCTCAGCCTCCCAAAGTGTTGGGTTTACAGGAGTGAGCCACTGCACCTGGCCTTAAAGGCCTTTCACCTCGCCAGCACACCTCTGCTGCTGGAGGATGGCAAACACTGTTTCCTGCCCCTGTGCTGTAATTCTCACAGATACGCAGAAAGATTTGTTTGCCCTGCCTCAGTAAATAAGGAAAATATTTTCTTAGGAGGCTGTTCCAATAACTGCACGTTCCTTGCCGTCCTCTACAGAAATCACCATCTGCTCTCCCAAGTTCTTCTGGAAAGAGCACCGTAACCATGTCATCCTAACAGCGATGCCATGAAGAAAGGGAGGCAACTCCCTCCATGTCCTGGCTCCAGTGCCCACTCCTGTGTCCCCTCCACGGCCCACACAGCCTGGCCACCTGGGTGACATCTGGTGCCTGTGTCACTTTCTGCAAGACAAGGACCAGCCTCAAAGAGGAGAGCATGTTGTTCTGAAGGAGATGGTGGCTGCCATCACCTGTCCTGTGGCTTTCCTCTGACTGCCCAGGTGGGGGCCCAGAGGCGGCGCCTCTCACTCCAGTGGAGTTACATAATTTCCAGGCTTCCCTGCAGTTTTCTCCTCCCCATCCCTGAACTGTTTACACAGCAGCTCTCACCCACAGAGTCCGCGTGATGGCTTTTCCTCTGTTTGAAAGATGTGGATGGCTGTGTCCCAAGTTTTTCCTACCTAAGATCCTTTTCAGTAGGGGATGGATTCGGCCTATCTGATGATCAAGAGATCAGGGTGGCCTTTGTGATACTGTTACACCCGCTCCCAGGTCCAATAAACAGTCTTCTGACAAATAATGGCCCTTCCTTTTCCTTCCCCACCTGTCCACCACCTGGTAATGTAAGCGTGGCAAAATCCCACACACCCCTTCCAGAAATCCCAGGACTCGTGTGGGAAATACTTTCATAATTAAAGCCTTCTGAGAAATTGCTTCTTCCTTGAACTTACCTACTTTTGAGCGGTGCTTTAATCCTGCATTAAGGGGACACCCCCCAAAAATGGTTCTACTTAATTACCCACCCTTCCTCAATCCTTTTTCCTCATTAATCATGCAAGCCTTTTTTTTTTTAGATGACCCAAGTGCCCAAAGCAATAATTGCATTTCAAGTGTATTTTAAAAAATTATTTATTACAAACATTTACAATGTTCACTTTAAATGCAAAATAGCTTGTAAAAGAAAAAAAACACTGAGAAATATACTGACCCTTTGCCCCATATACAGACATCAGCCTTTGGTATTTGCTTTCAGGTAATTAGGTAAAACAAACAAACAAAAACTTGAAACTATTATTTATCTCCAAGAAAACAACGTAGAGTTGAGGTATTCTATTTAACAGATGTGATCTCCATCCAATAAGGTCTCTCTGTTAATTAACAGCCTTGCGACATGCTGTTCCAATCCTTTCCTCCTAAAGTAGAATTTCATTTGAGCATATGTTCATAAAACTGACAATGTTCCTTAATAATCACTAAGGTTGCCATAGAAACTCCCTGGTGCTGGCGCCCAGCCGCACAGAGGACAGGAGGCTGAAGGGCCCTTACAGGGCACTGGGGAGGGCCTAGCACAGACCCTGAACTGGCCCGCCTGCCCCTCCATGTGCAGCCCCCTGCCCACGGCTGCACGGGACAGCTGGGTGCAGGGCTCTTGCCTCAAAGGGTCACAGGTTGCCCCTGTATCTCCAAGTTAAGACAGATTTCTCACCAACTCCACCTGGAGCTGGTGTCCGCATCCTCCCCACCTGGGTTAGCCTTCAGGACGTGCTGTGAGATAACAGAGCTCAGCACCAAAGCAGCCAAGAAGACATTCCTGAACATTCTCCAGGAAACAACCCATAGACCACAACACTCCTAGCCTGCCCCGCTGGGCCCTGTTCACTACCAGGTGGGCTTCCAGCCTGGTTCCAGCAGCAGATTCCACACCCTGCCGCCACAACCAGTTTCCGTTCTCCCGAGACTGCAGGGAAATGCCAGAGGCTCCGTGTGAGCTCAGAGCCTGATAAAGAAAGTGCAAGGGCAAGTCGCCATCAGGGCCAAGAGCTTTCTGAGTTACCAAAGGCCTCGTCAGCATAGCCAATCTACCCCCAGACACATTTCTTGAAAATATTTCATTAATGCTACAAACATTATTTATCATTTTACTTTAGACCTTGAACCAGCATATTTTTTACTTTCCCCACCCAGCAAGATAAGCTGTCGTATTTAATCTAAATGGTCTCTGTCCCAGCGTTTCATGTCTGGCTGTGTGGCAGATGGCTACAGGTATTAGGCAAATAACAGCACTGCTGGGGACTCAAGGCAGTAGGGGTGCTGCAGAAATACAGGTAGAAGTGCCCCGTGGATTGAGACACATATTCAGTCACCACAAATTAGAGAACAGAGAGAGCTTAGGATGTATACCTGTGTACACTGAGCCAGGCCTACAGCCCAGAGAAGACACTTTTTCTTCATTTACAGTAGCTTATGAAAAATAAAGGGGAAAAAACCCTCTTCAATACAAAAACAAAACAAAGAAAAAAAAGCAAAAAAAAAAAAAAAAAAGCAGTTCCATTACAATAAAAATGAAAGCAATAACAATTTGGAGATCAAAGCTGCCTAGCTCTTGGCAATAATGAGCTATCTGAATTTCACATCTTCCGCTAGCATGGTTCTGCCCGGCTTCGGTAATACCACATGTGGGTAAAACGGTATAAAGAATTAACTGTGGGCACATAATCACCCTTCATGCAGATTCTCATTCTTAATATTTCCCTTTAACAGCATTTTTGCTGTTCTCAAGTCTCAGAAACTTTATGTGGCAGGATGGGAGGGAACCACTATAACCACCTGCCTGCCTTTTTTTTTTTCTTAAATGTTATTGTTTATAATAGAGATGGTATCTCACTATGTTACCCAGGTTGGTCTCAAATTCCTGAGCTCAAGCAATCCTCCCACCTCGGCCTCCCAAAGTGCTAAATTACAGGCGTAAGCCACCACACCCAGCCATCCTGCCCTTTTGCCAACTTAAGATGAGGTGCCTCAAGCAGCAATAGGGTCTAAAATCTACAAACCAACCCAGCAATGAAAAGCACGGCTTGCTGAAGACAGTTAACTTAAACCTGGAAAACCGTAAACAAAACATGGTCACTTTCCTCCTTTTGCACCTGTCTGGTGATGGTGGCTGTTTTTCTAAGAGGGTAGAGTATTAGAAAGGTTTTGTGGTCTGGTAAATTTTGGGTCCATGGTTACATGGCTGATTTAAATCGTATCCCCACTGTGGAGTACCCTGATAACTTGAGAGCTAACTGGGTAACCACTAACACCACTGAATTTTCAAAGCTCGGGCAGAAAAGTCAGCTGAAGTGGTTAATCACGGTGTTACAATTAGACATGTAGTTCTGCTTCAATTCTTGCAGAGCTGAATCAACTCAAGGAGCTAAATAAAAAGAGGAAGGCACCGAGGTAAGGGATTTTTTTTAAAACCTCCCCCTTTGATAGCAGAAAGCTCAGGGCTTTCAGGGTGGGGAATTTCTAGGACCCTGCCGGGTAGTCGTGGGAGGCTCCCTTCTCAGCACTGGGACAGGGACCGGACGCCCTCTCCATAACCGCCTGGGGGAGTAGTCACACGCTGGTTTTTCCCTAGCGTAGAGAAGAGGCAGGCTATTTTTCCACTTTTAAGACAAAAACAAAATACACAATGAAACCACAATCTCTTCTCTAATAGGGAAAATATTTTTTCTTTTCTTTTTTGAGACAGGGTCTCACTTGCTCAGTCACCCAGGCTGGAGTGCAGTGGTGCAATCTCGGCTCACTGCAGCCTTGACCTCCCAGGCTCAAGAGATCCTCCCACCTCAGCCTCCCAACTAACTGGGACTTCAGGTGCACTCTACCATACCTGGCTAATTTTTATGCTTTTTGTAGAGATGAGGTTTTACCACATTGCCCAGGCTGGTCTCAAACTCCTGGACTCAAGTGATCCTCCCGCCTCGACCTCCCAGAGTGCTGGGATTACAGGCGTGAACCACCGTGCCTGGCAGGAAAAATATTATTTCTCTTCCTCCTTTTTCACTTGACTTAGTTTTGGGCTAAACAAAGTTATGGTGCTTCCCCCACACCTAAGTAAGTTACTTCTATGCTGACACAGCGAATATTGGCTATTCCACCCTCTCAAGAGAAAACAGTCAGCAGTTTTTTAAAAACCAAGTTAAAATGCATTCTTGCCGGGCTCATTTTTCTTTTCACATTGTCTTCCTTAATATTATCTTCCTAGTTACCCAGGTTCGGTTGACAACAAACAAAGCTGCAGTAAAACAGTTTTGATCTCAGCACTGGCAGAAGCCCTCCCTGCTGCCAGCTCTCCTTTGTGGGAGGTGGAGAACAGAGAACATTGGTTTTCAGAGGCTGTGATCCCCCGCTCAGCTCCCACTCTACAGGGGATGGTGGAGACCCTGTGCCCCTCTCCTCTCCTTCCTCTGCTTCTCACCTGAGGTCCTGCAACCCAAAGCCAATGCAGCTGCCTCTGTATTCAACAAATGCCTAAGATTACCATTCACATTTAGCAAAATGCTAATGAGGAACTAATTATAATTCCGTTGAAAACGACCAGGCCCTGAGATACTGTATTATTCACCCACCCACCCTCAGCTGTTTTTCAACTGTGGGGAAGAAAGGGAGGAGAGAGCTTCTTTCCCCAGCCTTGGCGGTTTAAGTAAAAGCCGTCCCCAGGCTCAGACAAACAGAATTTGCAAAGGCACTTGGGTTTTAGGAGTTTGAGCTGGAAGATGAAATGATGCAGTGGGCCAGGAGCGTGGCAGCTGAGGGAGGCTTTGGCTGGAAATCCACCCCCCCTGCCTGAGGGTGCAGCTTTTGCAGAGGTGTTGGGGGATGGGCTGCCAGCCGCTTCTCCACACTGAGGCCCCCACCAAGCTGCCCAGCTTTTGAGTGTCCGTGTTGAGTGTCCAAAGAGTCTTGACATGGTTCTCTTCACAGTGGCCCAAGTTCACTCTAACCCCTTTAAGCCAGGCATTTGGAAAGGGAGGTTTGAAACCTCAACCAGCTGAACACTGGAGCAGGCTGATTTTCCCCTGGTGTCGAACCTTCCGCAAGGCTCTTCCGTGAAGCCAAAGGCCCCACTCCCCTGAGATAAGCTGGCATGGCAGTAAGAAGCATCCTTTGCTGAGCCCGTTTGTGCTCTGTCATCCACAGGGTCCAGCCTGCTAGTGCCACCAGGCCAGCTATCTGGGGAAGAAGTAGTCTGTGTTGCTGATGTCGTAAGGGCTCCGTGGGTCCCTGGCATCTGGTCGGTTGTGGCTCGAGGTGTTGTCAGACCCCAGGCTGCTGGGGGACACTGGTGGGGAGATGAGAGGAACAAGCACTGGGGTGGGTCGCGGCCTCTCTGGGACCAGCTGCCCCAAAGAATACGGCGGGTGCATGCTTGTCTTGCCTTCCTTCAGAGCCCGCAGCTTCCACGTCTTCTTGAACCTTCACATAAACACACAAAGACAAACCACACAGATGTTTAGCTCCCCCTGTGACAAGCCCACATTGGAAAACACCAACAGCTGGCTGCCCTGGTGGCCTGGCGCTCCCAGGTTTCAGCTCAACGAAGCAAAAACTATCAGCTGTCTTTTTGTTTTTTGTTCATTTGTTTGTTTTGAGACAGGGTCTTGCTCTGTTACCCAAGCTGGAGTGCAGTGGCGCGATCTCAGCTCACGGCAGCCGCAACCTCCTTGGGCTCAGGTGATTCTCCCACCTCAGCCTCCTGAGTAGCTGGGGCTATAGGCGTGTGCCACTACATCCAGCTGATTTTTGTATTTCTCATAGAGATGGGGTTTCACCACGTTGCTCAGGCTGGTCTTGAATTCCTGGGCTCAAGCGATCTGCCCACCTCGGCCTCCCAAAGTGCTGGGATTACAGGTGTGAGCCAACACACCCGACCCGACTGCTTTTATCACCAGGGAGTTCACCATACTCTGAAGAGTTGCTGAGTTTCCAAAACGCTCCCAAGGAAATAGGTATTATTGGACCAATTTACAAGTGAGGAAACTGAGGCACCAAAAAGTCACTTAACAGTCCCTTAATTGTCCCATTCCAGAGGCTGTTCATTAGGCACACATCATCAGTCCCAAATACATTTACTTAAAAAAGAGAAAAATAGGCTGGGTGCGGTGGCTCACGCCTGTAATCCCAACACATTGGGAGGCTGAGGTGGGCAGATCACCTGAGGTCAGGAGTTCAAGACCAGCCTGGCCAACGTGGTGAAACCCCGCCTCTACTAAAAATACAAAAATTAGCTGGGCGTGGTGGCAGATGCCTGTAATCCCAGCTACTTGGGAAGCTGAGGCAGGAGAATCGCTTGAACCCGGGAAGCAGAGGTTGCAGTGAGCCGAGATCGCGCCATTGCACTTCAGCCTGGGCAACAAGAGCGAAACTCTGTCTCAAAAAAGGAAGAAAGAAAGAAAGAAACAGAAACAGAAAAGAAAAATAAAGTATTATTTTAGTAGGGAAAGAAAATGGGCCTCTCAAAGTAAGGCTGGCAGGAGCAGATAATTTGCAACTGCCATGTAATAGCAGGAAAAGGGTCCCACTGCTCCCTCAACTGCCCTCCTGTTCCTCTTGCTCCTAATGTTGCCAACCTCCCCAGTTCTCCCTACACCTCTGGGTCCACTCCTACCATGCTGATGAGTCCCCACAGACTCAACTGTGGGCACCACTGGGCACAATTTGACTCATCTAACAGGAAAGTCAATGCTACACAGGAAGGAGATAGACATCTCTCTGATCACAGCTTCGTTCACAGTGCTCCACTCTGGGCCCAAAGCCAGGGCTCAGTAACTGAGAAAAGTCACTTGACAGCTCAAAGAAAGATGAAATAGTGACATGGATCTTCAAAAGCACAGTCACGTCCCGTTCCTGAAGGGGCTCTTCAACTGTGCCAGGGTGGCCAGTGCGCCAAGCCTCAGCCCCTCCCTCTTGCTTCACACTTTGTGACTGACATGCCTACTAACCCCAAAGTGGGAACAAGGTGGCCTCCCTCAATTCCATGGAAGATCAGTTACACCAGGAAGGGCTGGGAAAGAGGAGGGGAAACCAATGTCAAAAACAAGATTGGGGGATTTTCCTTGGGTTTCTTTTTATATCGACAGGTTATTCCTGTCCTTGTTATGATAAATAACTAATAGTTGGCTCCAAATCTGCCACTGGCTTTTAGCTTGGTATCCAAATGGAATAAACAATCTGCAGAATGTTATTTAGGGCTTCACCATGTGGACACCACACAGGAAGACAGCCCAGTAGGGCTGCTGACTGGAGCTATGCTGAGTCACTGAATGGAGTTCTCCTGTAGGAAAGGACTGAGGAGAGAGTCATTACACTCTGGATTTCAAAGAATTCAGACTCTCTGACCCAGGAATTCTACTTCTGGGAAAAGAAAGAACATAGCTATAAAATAAAAAAACCTTCATGCACAAAGATGTTCAACACAGTGTTGTTTATAAAAGCAAAATAAGGCTGGGTGCGATGGCTCACGCCTGTAATCCTAGCACTTTGGGAGGCCGAGGTGGGTGGATCACTTCAGGTCAGGAGTTCAAGACCAGCCTGGTCAATGTGGCAAAACCCCGTCTCTACTAAAAATACAAAAAGAATTAGCCGGGTGTCATGGCGCATGCCTGTAATCCCAGCTACTGGGAGGCTGAGGCAGGAGAATTGCTTGAACCCAGGAAGCGGAGGTTGCAGTGTGCTGAGATCGTGCCACTGCACTCCAGCCTGGGCCACAGAGTGATATGTCTCCATAAATAAATAAATAAATAAATAAATAAATAAATAAATAATAAAACAAAAGCAAAATAATACCCAAATAATTGGTAATGTTTGGGTGCCACCAATTAGAAGTAATAGGAGGTTGATTAAGAGAACTCGGTATATCCACCTAATACCACAGCTAATGAAAGTGAGATTTATGGCCAGATGTGGTGGCTCACGCCTGTAATCCCAGCACTCTGGGAAGCCAAGGCGGACAGATAACGAGGTCAGGAGTTCGAGACCAGCCTGACCAACATTGTGAAACCCTGTCTCTACTGAAAAATACAAAAATTAGCCGGGCGTGGTAGCAGGCGCCTGTAATCCCAGCTACTCAGGAGACTGAGGCAGGAGAACTGCTTGAACCCAGGAGGCGGAGGTTGCAGTGAGCTGAGATTGCACCATTGCACTCCAGCCTGGGCAATAAGAGTGAAACTCCGTCTCAAAAAAAAAAGAAAGTGAGATTTACAAAGATTTTGTACTAATGTGAAAGAATGCCTATGTTATAGTGCTAAGTGTGAAAGGCAGGATACAGAGTTGAGGATACAGAATAATCATGGCTGTGTAAAAACAAACAAGAAACTAGGCAGAGGAAAAAGACTCAGGAAATTTGTCTAAATATTAAGTGTTCTTGATCTGGGTGTTGATTGTGAAACCATCTCCACAGGGTTGACAAAAATTGCATGCTGGGCTCTGGACAGAAATACATTAATAGTTATAATGAAGCAGTAATCAGGCTGCACTTTGGCCCATTTCCTTATTGCAAAAAGTCACGTAGCCCTAGACACTGACCATCTGCATCCCCGTTGTTTCTGTAGATAGGATTTCTGACATTAGGATCCTAAGACTTTTGTTTAAGGATCACTTAAGATGTTTTACAGACCCCGAATTCCGGCAACCAGTTTGAAGACCCTCACAGAGGAATGGGATTGGCATGAGAAGACAGCTTCTTCATCTCCCTGTCCCTGGACCTCACCCTACACCCTGCAACCAGTCAACCATCTCCACACTTTGGCCCAGTCCAACATTTTTACAACCCTAGCCCCAAATTCCTTGGGGAGACGGATTTGAGGTGCTGGCGGAGGATTACCTAGGTGCCGAGGCAAGAGACTGAAGGCACAAACTGTTTCAGTATACTAAAGAAAATAGAGTAGGCTGGGCGCGGTGGCTCACGCCTGTAATCCCAGCACTTTGGGAGGCTGAGATGGACGGATCACAAGATCATCAAGACCATCCTGGTTAACACAGTGAAACCCCATCTTTACTAAAAATACAAAAAATTAGCTGGGCGTGGTGGCAGGTGCCTGTAGTCCCAGCTACTTGGGAGGCTGAGGCAGGAGAATGGCATGAACCCAGGAGGCGGAGCTTGCAGTAAGCCGAGATAGCGACACTGCACTCCAGCCTGGGGGACGAAGCAAGATTCCATCTCAAAAAAAAGAAAGAAAATAGTTAGAATAAGAATAGTCATAATACAAATTAGATATACAGATGATCATTGACAATTATCAATCATTATTATAAACATTATTAATCATTAGCTTTTACTATTACTCTTTGTTACATTACTAATATAACCTAGGAATAACGGGTGGGTATAGGGTCAGGAGCTGAAACGACATTGTGAGACATGACCTAGATGGCAAGAGGTGAGCCTTCTGTCATGCCCACGCAAGGGCCGCTTGAGGGCTCCTTCGTCAAGCAGTAACACCAGTGTCTGGGAAGGCACCCGTTACTTAGCAGACCACAAAAGGGAGTCTCCTTTCCTTGGAGGAGTCAGGGAACACTCTGCTCCACCAGCTTCTTGTGGAAGGCTGATATTATCCAGGCCTGCCTGCAGTCATCCGGAGGCCTAAACCCCTCCCTGTGGTGCTGTGCTTCAATGGTCATGCTCCTTGTCCATTTTCATGCTCCTCCCGCACTCGTGGTTCCTCTTTGAAGTTCATAGTAGATAGCAGTAGAAGAAATAGTGAAAGTCTTAAAGTCTTTGATCTTATAAGTGCAGAGAAGAAAACGCTGATGTATGCTGCCTTCTCTCTCTGCTTCGGCTACCTAAAAGGGAAGGGCCCCCTATCCTGTAATCACGTGACTTGCTTCACCTTGTCAATCACTTAGAAGATTCACCCTCCTTACCCTGCCCCCTTGTCTCGTATGCAATAAATATCAGCACGCCCAGCCGTTCAGGGCCAAAACTGGTCTCCGCATCTTGATGGTAGTGGTCCCCTGGGCCCGGCTGCTTCCTCTTTATCTCTTTGTCTTGTATCTTTATTTATTACAATCTCTCATCTCCGCACATGGGGAGAATAACCACTAACCCCCGTAGGGCTGGATCCCACAGAGGTTTCCTCCCATCTCCTCCTTAGGTGACCCTCTGATTAAACCTCTTTCTCTGCTGCAACCTGGTGTCTTGGCATCTTGACTTGCCACGTGCATCTCATTATAATTACAATGACATGGGTGCGTACACTTCATGGCACTGTACATACGATGTGGGAACTTTTCTGTATATTTGTTAGACTTTAATCACATTTACATTTTGAAAATTAACAGTGGCTCTCTTTGGATGACATATTTTTTCCATTTGTCATTATTTAAGTCCCTGTTGACCTAATATGGAAGCAATCTCTGTCCTCAGTATTTTTTTTTTCAAAGTAACCGAATGGGTAGCCAAGAACGGTGAGCTTTCCTTCTGAAATATTCTAAGGAGAGTACGAATCCTTTTCTGAAAATCACTAAACTCAAAGAGGACTTTGAAACCAGCCAACCTGAGGGTGCCCAGAGCTGGCCTGGATGGGTGTGAGCAGGGCCTGGGGGCTGGAGAGGACGTGGGGCAGGCAGATAGAAGAAACAGATGAGCTCTCTGCTGCCTTCTTTTGCACCTGGACCTTCACCTTTTATCTATTTTACATATTTGGGCTTCAAAAAGTTTTGTTTAAAGAAAAGATTCTGTAGCTAAAAGAAGTTTTTAAAAATGCTCAAAACTCTCACTTTTTTAGAAAGATATGTAGAAACCAAGGTGCCACCCCTTACCCCAAAGGCCACAGACAGTGCCCACTGCACCCAGCCACCTCCACGGCCCAGAACACCATGAAAGTCCCTCTGCCCGTCCCCCAGCTGTGGAGGTAGGAGAAGCTCTGATTTTAAAATACTGGAATGATACACTACATTCAAAACAAAATGATGTTTAAGTCATAGGCATACACATAGGAAGTCCTCATTTAATGATGTAAGTTCATTCTAGATAAATATGCAGAAAAATAATTCTTTACTAGGAGAATCCTATTTTCCCAATGCCTGATAACCTAACATAAAGACAGAGAATCCGTGGGGGACAGGGAATAGGGTGGGAAGAATTGGCCCCTGTAAGATGGCAAGCCTTTTCAACAGCCTATTTGAATTTTAAAAAATCATCTATGATTCAGAAAAAAAGAATGAGTAATGAAAGACAAAGAAAAAAATCACCTATATTGCTGGAAAAAGATTTAGGGCCATACAAAAAATATAGTATAGACTGGCAGGATGAAGTCAACCTGCCTCTCACACTTCACCTACTGTAAATGTGGCCATCCCATGGTAACCATGGTTCAGCCATTTTGGCAGCCCAGAGCCCCACAGTATTTCTAAGTTTATACTCTTTGCTAGACAGAGGGGATTTGGGGAATAGAAGGATTCTTCATCGCTTGAAATAACTGGCCTCTTTCCAAGCAAATTTGCCTTATACAGAAGAAAATGGAAACTCACTAGGCTAGGAAATAAATTCCTGGCATGTTCTCAGCACAGGGCACTGGCCCTGTCTGTGCCTGCGGGGACTCTGGTTGTTTAGCAACCAGCCAGTGTCCAAGCATCATCAGCAGAACAGCAAACCAGGTCTGTTCCCAACCTGATGCTCCTCTATTTGCCGTTACGACACACCAAGACGGTGCTGTGTGTTAAGGGCTAGTGGTGGGCCGATGGGAGCAGCTGGGCCCAGCTCTTAGCCAAGAGCAGGTGGGTGCCATAGGCAGGGACTCTCAGGGCGTGTGTTCCACTTCTGGTTCTTGCTTGTCCTTAGGCAAGTCATTTTACCTTTGGGGGCTGTTTCCTCATTTATAAAATAAAAGAGTTTGACCAGATGACCCCTAAGGCCCTATAGAAAGAGCAGGAGTTTTTGGTTTGATTCTTGGCCTTCTTCTTCTTTTTTTTTTTTGAGACGGAGTCTCCTTCTGTTGCCCAGGCTGGAGTGCAGTGGCACGATCTCAGCTCACTGCAACCTCTGCCTCCTGGGTTCAAGCCATTCTTCTGCCTCGGCCTCCTGAGTAGTTGGGATTACAGGCATGCACCACCATGCCCAGCTAATTTTTGTATTTTTAGTAAAGGCAGAGTTTCGCCATGTTGGCCAGGCTGGTCTCGAACTCCTGACCTCAGGTGATCCACTCACCTTGGCCTCCCAAAGTGCTAGGATTACAGGCGTGAGCCACTGTGCCTGGCCTATTCTTACTAGCTGTTATCATACCATCTGTTTTAGCTTCAGTTTCCTTCCCTGTCAAATGGATATCACATCTGCTCTACTGGGCCTGTGGTGAGTTATGAGAAAAGCCTGTTGAATTCCTAATATAGACACAGAGCCAGAACACAGGAGGGTATACCTAGGGTGAGGCAAGGAATCCTTTGACAGGCAGGAGGTGGACCCGTGAATGCTGACATGGCCCCTCACTGGCCAAAATATATAAAAGGCTTTGCGTCCTCCAAGAAGCTACCTCCACTCATCAAGAATCTTATCTTCCACACACCCTTTAGATGGCTTGTTCTCTACTTCATTGAAAAAGCAAAGTGAAGGCCGGGCACGGTGGCTCACGCCTGTAATCCCAGCACTTTGGGAGGCCGAGGCGGGTGGATCATGAGGTCAGGAGACTGAGACCATCATGGCTAACACAGTGAAACCCCCTCTCTACTATGAAATCCCCTCTCTACTAAAAAAAAATACAAAAAATTAGCCAGGCATGGTGGCGGGCGCCTGTTGTTCCAGCTACTCAGGAGGCTGAGGCAGGAAAACGGCATGAACCTGGGAGGCGGAGGTTGCAGTGAGCTGAGATCGCACCATTGCACTCCAGCCTGGGCAACAAAGTGAGACTCCATCTCAAAAAAAAAAAGAAAAAGAAAAGTGAAAACAACCCTGAACCCAATTTGAGAAGGCATCTTGCTCATCTTTCAACCCACACCACACTTGGTAGTCAAGCTAGGTCAGGGCTACTGGCAGGGTCTGATGAGCTAACGGGTAGGAAGCTCTCTACGTGTAGAAAGAAGGACTGAGTGCAATGTCACCTCCACTTGTATATTATCACAATAAACCACTGCCCAGAAGACCCAGCCTGACTTATTTTAGGGTTTCAGCTTATGAAAAACAGCCAGTTCCTGCAGTAAAATTGTGAACACTGAAAAATTTCATTATTGCTTGTTCGTTGAAGGCACTGTTGGCTGACTTTTCTGCAAACGTGGAAATGAATGACAAAACCAATGACCAAATGGAATGAAGATGATTGGGATGAAATGGGCATGAGGAGACAGAGGCCAGGGTGCAGCTCAGCGTGAAAGAGTATTTCCTAACCATGGCTGGAAAAGAACACTAGGGCAGAGCATTTAAAGGTGACCTTTAAGTTCCTGGATTGATACATAGAATATTCCTAAGGAGGTCCTGCTGGGCGCCTTGGATTTAACTGTGTGGTGCTTCTCAAAAGTTATTTTTTATTTTTTATTTTTTTTGAGACGGAGTCTTGCTCTGTTGCCCAGGCTGGAGTGCAGTGGTGCAATCTCAGCTCACCGCAACCTCTGCCTCCTGGGTTCAAGCGATTCTCCTGCCTCAGCCTCCCGAGTAGCTAAGATTATAGGAATGTGCCACTATGCCCAGCTAAATTTTGTGTTTTTAGTAGAGATGGGGTTTCACCATGTTGGTCAGGCTGGTCTTGAACTCCTGACATCAGGTGATTCACCCACCTCGGCCTCCCAAAGTGCTGGCGCAAGTTGCAGTGAGAAGAGATCGCACCACTGCACTCCAGCCTGGGCAACAGAAGCAAAACTCCATCTCAAAAAAAAAGAATCAATTCATGGCTCTCCAATCCATTGCCACCATCCTAAACAGTTTCTTATTATCTCTTGCCCAGACCCTGGGCTACTGTATCCATTTGCACCCACCTCATCCAGTCTCCAAACTGCATTTAGAGTGACTTTTTGGTTTTCTTTATTTGAGATGAGCCTCATTCTGTCGCCCAGGGTGGAGCGCAGTGGTGCAATTTCAGCTCACTGCAACCTCCACTTCCTGGGTTCAAGTGATCCTCCTGCCTCAGTCTCCCGAGTAGTTGGGATTACAGGCATGTACTACCATGCCCGGCTAATTTTTGTATTTTTAGTAGAGACAGGGTTTTATCATTTTGGCCAGGCTGGTCTTGAACTCCTGACCTCAGGTGATCCACCTGCCTCGGCCTCCCAAAGTGATGGAATTACAAGCGTGAGCCACCGCGCCTGGCCCAGGTTCTTCTTAAAACTCCAACAGACACTCATTACCCTCAAGAAAAGGCCTAAATTCCTCCCACCTCTCTTTCAAGGCCTTTTATGACCTGGCACCAGCCTACCTCTCCACTCTTCCCACCCCATATTGCCCCAACCATGCTGCCCCCCACAGACACATGCATGCACACACTGTCAACCATATTACATTCTGGGCTTCTCTCGTAAGAACCCTTTTTGGGCCAGGCGTGGTAGCTCACACCTGTAATCCCAAAACACTAGGAGGCCAAGGCAGGTGGCTCACTTGAGCCTAGGAGTTCGAGACCAGCCTGGGCAACATGAGACCTCATCTCTACAAAAAATAGAAAAATTAGCTAGGCAGGGTGGTGTGCACCTGCAGTCCCAGCTACTCCAGAGGCTAAGGTGGGAGGATCACTTGAACCTGGGAGGCAGAGGTTGTCCTGTGAGGTGAGATTGCACCGCGGCACTCTAGCCTGGGTGACAGAGTGAGACGCTGACTCAAAAAAAAAAAAAAAAAGAACCCTCTTCTTTCTCAGACCAATTCCTCTTCCTCCTTAATGCCAGGTCAGTTCTCCTCACCGTGGCATGCTTTTTGTAGCTCTTACCACAGCAGTGATTACCTCACCTCTTAGTGTCTGGCTTCTTCCTGAGACTGTACCTGCCCTGCCCAGCATTGTCTCCTGCAGCACCTAAAACAGGGCTTGGCATAATACTAGGTGCTGTGTGTGCTGTGGTGTGTGCATTCATTTGATGAATGGATAAATGAATAAATAAATGCACTGTAAATTTCATAATGGGCAAAGGAAAGCTACATAAATATGAGAACACCACAGGGCCATCCCCCAGGACCCATCTCACCTCAGAACAATGGCAATGCACAGGAGCGTTCCGAACGCCAGGCTCCCTCCAGCAACCAGGAATGTGGGCAGTGGTACCGAAGAAGAATCTTGCACTAGGTTAAAAAAAAAAAAAAAATGAAGATAGAGGAGGAAGAGGAGAATATGGAGAAAAAGGACCAGGAGGAGGAGAAGAAAACCACTTAGCCAGAGCTGTCAAAAGCCTCAAAGGAACTTTCCCCTCCAACCCCTCTCCCAGAAAATGAAACAGTTCTGCCAATCAACAGGCCGCTTGAAAAGCTTCACTGTTTTTTGTTTGTTTGTTTCTTAACAAAGCCCACTCTAGAAGAATCACCCCCAGCTTAATCTGGCAGACCTCAGGATTCCACCATGTGGCAAGAGAGACACCTCAAGCTCAGGGTTTCTGAGTGCCTGTGGCTAGCCATGGACTCCTATTCACTTTCAGGGTGGTTTTTCTGGTGGCATTCTACCGGCCCCCATAAGACACAAAGAGGGTACAAGAAATGGAAGACTTTGGGGACCTCCTTGATGGCAGTTCCTTTGAGGACAATGTCAGAGAGGATTGGATGCTTTAAACCAAATATTTGGAAGCAGTTTTCTCCGTGCGGGTGTCATCTCTTGCCTGTCCCCGCATTTGGTACTCAAGCCCCAGCTTGAGTTCTCCAACAAGCTTGTCGGTTCTCCAACAAGCTATGATCTTTTTCCTCCAGGGCTCTCCACACACGTTCCCTCTTCTTGCCTGTCTGCTTTCTCCACCTTTGCTGTACCCCTTTGCTGTCCAGTCCCTACTTGGCCTTTGGATCTCAGATGAAGTGATGTTACTTCCTTTGAGAACTGACCCCACTCCAAGCTGAGTAAGTGCCCCTCCCAGTTATTTCTCCAGTTCCACCTCTAGATTGAGTTTCCTGAAGGCAGGGACCGCATGTGTCTTTTTCACTGTAACACTGCCAGCAGCTTACACAGTGCCGAATACAAAGTAGGATCTCCAAAATACTTCCTTGAATGAAGGAAAGAACAAACAAGCTTTGCAAGCAGCCATGTCTTCCCACAGAAAGGCTCTTCCTACCACTGCCAGAGTTCCTGGACTGGACAGAGGGCACATCTAAGCAAAACCATCTCCTTCTGCTGGGAATGCAGTCACAGTTGTATGGACCCAGCATTCAGGCTCTTCTACCCAAAATGCAATCCACTGCTGAAGAAGAGGCTGCCTGCCAGCCATCACTTCAGATGCCTACTGGAGGCAGGCAGTGCAATGAGCCCAGACTAGTGGCTGCAAGGACAAGTTTCTCCAAGCGTGTCCCATGTCTCTTGAGAGATGCAGCCGTGTAATGAAAGCAGTATGCTTGGCTTGCTTATTTATTAATATTTCATCATCTTTTATATTTGTTCCTTCTTTTTTTTTGAAATGGAGTCTCGCTCTTGTCACCCAGGCTGGAGTGCAGTGGTGTGATCTCTGCTCACTGCAGCCTCCACCTCCCGGGTTCAAGCAATTCTCCTACCTCAGCCTCCCAAGTACCTGGGACAACAGGCACGCGCCACCACGCCCGGCTAATTTTGTATTTTTTGTAGAGATGGGGTTTTGCCATGTTGCCCAAGCTGGTCTCCAACTCCTGACCTTAGGTGATCCGCCCACCTCAGCCTCCAAAAGTGCTGCAATTACAGGCATGAGCCATGGCAGCAAGCCATATATTTGTTCCTTCTTTCATCCAACAAATATTCTTTGAGTGCCTATCATGTGCCTAAATGGATCTTACATCCAATCAAGGAAGACAGACAAACACATGTTTTTTAAAAAAATTCTCAAGAAAAAGTTCCCGGAGAAGGGTGCATCTGAGCAGAGACTTGAGTGATAGGAAGGAGCTGGCCAAGTGGATGTCAGAGGAAGCCTGTCCAGGCAGAGCACACAGCAAGTACAAAGGCCCTGAGGTAGAGCATGTGTGGAGGAGCAAGGAGTGCACTGTGGCTGGGGCAGAGCGAGGAAAGGGAGAATGGAGAGGCAACGTCTAAAGATAGGGGACCACATGGCTTCGCTGGGACTCCCCGTAGAAACTGGGGACTTTGTCAGGACTTTGACTTATACTCTGGGGGAGATGGCACTGAGCCAGAGAGAGCTTGGATTTGTGTTTTAAGGGACACTCTAGGTGCTGGTTGGAAAAGAGTTGGTTGGGGGTTAAGCCTAGAAGTTGGTAGACCAGTTGGCAGCCCAGGAAATCCTGCTGGATGAGAGGTGGCAGGGGCTGGACTGGGTGTTGGCACTGGAGATGGTGAGGAGAGGTCAGCTCCTAGATACGTCTCAAAGCACAAGGACAACACTTGTTGAGGGACTGGCCACAGGATGAGGAGTAGGGAGGAAGTGTGCCCGATCCCCCATCTGAGCAAATGCAGTACCAGTTATTGAGATAGGGAAGATGGAGAAGAACAGATCTGGGTTGAAGAGGTGGGGAAGTGTCAGGTGTTCTCTTTCAGACATGTTAAATTTGAGAATGCTGGCCAGGCGTGGTGGCTCACACCTGTAATCCCAGCACCTTGGGAGACTGAGGCGGGCAGATCACCTGAGGTCGGAAGTTTGAGACCAGCCTGACCAACATGGAGAAACCCTGTTTCTACTAAAAATACAAAATCAGCTGGACGTGGTGGCACATCCCTGTAATCTCAGCTACTCAGGAGGCTGAGGCAGGAGAATCGCTTGACCCCAGGAGGCAGAGGTTGTGGTGAGCTGAGATCACGCCATTGCACTCCAGTCTGGGCAACAAGAGCAAAAATCTATCTTAAAAAAAAAAAAAAATATATATATATATATATATATTTGAGACTGCTAGCGGATGTCCCATGTGTCAACTAGGCAGTTGGGTACATTAGTCTGGGTCTTAGTGGACAGATCAGGGTAGGGATATAAAATTGGGTGTTGCCAGCCTGTGGATGGTCTTTAGTGACATGAAGCTGGATAAAATCATCAGTGACAGGCTGGGCGCAGTGGTTCACATCTGTAATCCCAGCACTTTGGGAGGCCAAGGCGGGTGGATCACAAGGTCAGGAGATTGAGACCATCCCGGCTAACACGGTGAAACCCCATCTCTACTAAAAATACAAATAATTAGCCGGGTGTGGTGGTGGGCGCCTGTAGTGCCAGCTACTCGGGAGGCTGAGGCAGGAGAATGGCGTGAACCCAGGAGGCGGAGCTTGCAGTGAGCCGAGATCGTGCCATTGCACTCCAGCCTGAGCCAGACTCCAACTCAGGAAAAAAAAAAAAAAAAAGACCTCACTAAAGACCATACATGGGCTGATCTTTAAAAAAAGTTAAAAAAAAAATCATCAGTGAGGGTGGACGGAGAGGACTGGAGGGTCCCCTCCTCCATAGCAGCCTTTGTTTTTGTTGTTGCTGTTGCTTTTGGTTTTTTTTGACATGGAGTCTCACTCTGTGGCCCAGGATAGAGTGCAGTGGCTCAATCTTGGCTCACTGCAACCTCCACCTCCCCGCGATTCTCCTGTCTCAGCCTCCCAAGTAGCTGGGATTATAGGCACCCACCAACACGCCCGGCTAATTTTTGTATTTTTTAGTAGACATGGGGTTTCACCATGTTGACCAGGCTAGTCTTGAACTCCTGATCTCAGGTGATTCTCCCACCTTGGCCTCCCAAAGTGCGGGGATTACAGGCGTGAGCCACTGCGCCCGACCCATAGCAACCTTTGAACACTCAACCTCTTGCATCCCACCCATGCCATTCAAAGCCTATTTCAAATGGCACCTCCTCCATGAGCTTTCTGTGACTGCTCAGCTTGATGCACTCTCTCAAATCTCTAAATTCCACTTTGCTTTATCTGTGCCTCCCTTTCCGCCCATCTCACATTCTGGTCTTTGTCACAGTTACCAGTTTACTCTTTGTGGGGGCTTGGACTGTAGCCTCCTTGAGAAGAGGGATGGCTCTAATCCTCTCTGAGTCCCCAACTGTGCAGAGCTCAGGCCCAGGTATCTAGCAGGTCTTCCACAGGTGCACTGCACCATAGTAGGGCTTGGCACCTGGGCTGTTGTAGCAGAGGCAGCCAGCATCAGGTGCAGGCAGGAACCCACCCAGGGATGGGGAACGAGGGCAAGGACTGCCTCACAAAGCCCAAGAGTCATCAGCTGGAGCCACTCAACTACTGAACCTCTGGAGTCTGGATTCCATAAGTCCCATACACCTAGTCAAACACAGGACTTGTGATCTTTCTTGATTCAAATACTGGCAAGTTTTCCTGGTCTTGCAGGGATAGGGAATCAGAAGCATTGAAATCAAGGGCTCCCAAAATAAAGATTTCCCTCAACAGGTATTCCATTTCAGACTCCAGTAATCTTGTTTGCAGCACATTCATTTGTATTGTGGGCCAATTGTGAAATATCTCACTGATTTATCCCATTTTTCTTACGGTCTCCTCATTATAACTTAGCTAACAATATCAAACTTCAACATATAAAGTAACAAAAGAATATTTCTGGCCAGGCACGGTGGCTCATGCCTGTAATCTCAGCACTTTGGGAGGCCGAGGCAGGCAGATCACGAGGTCAGGAGTTCGAGACCAGCCTGGCCAACACGGTGAAACCCCGTCTCTACTAAAAATATAAAAATTAGCCGGGCACGGTGGCATGCCCCTGTGATCCCAGCTACTCGGGAGGCTGAGGCAGGAGAATTGCTTGAACTCGGGAAGTGGAGGTTGTGGTGAGCCGAGATCGCACTGCACTCCAGCCTAGGCAACAGAGCAAGACTCTGTCTCAAAACAAAAACAAAAACAAAAACAAAACATTTCTGCCATTGATCCTCTGACGACCTGTCCAAATAAGAAAGGACTTTCCGCAGAGACAAATCTGTCCCTCAGACCCTGTGAATATGAAAATACCCAGTCCTTACCTGGGAGGCTTGTCGCATTTGCAGAATCTCTGGAGAGAATATTATCGTCGTCTTTATTAGTAGTAGGTGCCTAAAAGAGACATTCCTCACCATCAGCCTGTTTCTGCAGATTCCACCACCATTCAGAACCAGTTCAGGAGGTACCTCCTCCTCAGAGCCCTCCCTGATCCGCCCAAAGCATTCCTTTCTCCATTTCATTCATAACAGTGGAAAAATCAATAATACTATTATTTGCATTTTTTCTATCCACACCGTGTCTGCTAAGGGTGGAGCTTTCTTTGCACCTGCCTCTCCACCAAAAGCTGAAGGGCACAGCACCCTGCACAGAGAAGATGCTCAGTGGATACACTGAAGCAGCTGTTGTCCTTACAGGTCCGATGCAAAGGTGCAGGTACCACTGTGACTGGAATCCTGGCTCCACTACTTATGAGCTATGTCACCTTGGACAGATTTCTTTTTATTTTTTGTTTTTTTGTGAAATGGAGTTTCACAAAAGAAATAGAGATTCTCGTCACCCAAGCTGGAGTGCAATGGCATAATCTCAGCTCACTGCAACCTATGCTTCCCGTGTTCAAGTGATTCTCCAGCCTCAGCCTCCTGAATAGCTGGGATTACATGCACGCGCCACCACGCCCAGCTAATTTTTGTGGTTTTGGTACAGACGGGGTTTCCCTATGTTGGCCAGGCTGGTCTGGAACTCCTGACCTCAGGTGATCCACCCGCCTCAGTCTCCCAAAGTGCTGGGATTACAGGAGTGAGCCACTGCGCCCGGCCTCAGACTTCTCTTTTTTTTTTCTTTTTTTCTTTTTTTGAGATGGAGTTTCGTTCTTGTTGCCCAGGCTGGAGTGCAATGGTGCGATCTTGGCTCACCGCACCCTCCGCCTCCAAGGTTCAAGCAATTCTCCTGCCTCAGCCTCCCAAATAGCTGGAATTACAGGCATGTGCCACCACACCCAGCTGATTTTATATTTTCAGTAGAGACAGGGTTTCTCCATGTTGGTCAGGCTGGTCTTGAACTCCTCACCTCAGATGATCTGCCCGCCTTGGCCTCCCAGAGTGCTGCGATTACAGGCGTGAGCCCCGGCACCTGGCCCTGGCCTCAAACTTCTTACCCCATGTTAAGCAGCCCTTACAAGCACTCCCTTGTAACGTTAACATAAGGAGCCAATGAAACAGCAAATGCAAGGCTCACAGTTTAGCAGGATGAGGCCAGTCGTCAGTCGGTGTCAGTTTCCCCAGAACCTGTGTTGGGAGCACTCTAGCCCCATGGGTATGGGCTCCACTTGCAGCTGTTCCTACATGGAACACAGATAAGGTTCAAGAGCCCCAGGCTCCTTCCCTGTGCTGCACAGCTCCAGAAGTGGCTGTGCCTCCCAGCTTAGCATTTAGGGAATTAAGGGCCACAGGAGGAGATATAGTTGGATAGGAAATTGGATTACTCATGGAATTTGTTAAGCAGCTTCAGAGGTAATCCTCTTTCCAGCAAGTTATGACACCAGGAGTCCACAGGGGAAGGACTCAGATGAACAGAATCCAATCTCAAGCTAAGCCGTTAGCAGTGTCCAAAAAGCTCAGAGATGAAATAGCTGCCGCTAGATGCAGGTCAGCTCTGCGTGCCAGGCCAGCGCTGCTCCACTCTTTACAGTCCTGGGACAAGATAATTTTTATGATTCCCTTTCACAGAGTCTTGAAAAGCACAGATAACTCACCACAGCCACATTTCTACTAAGTGACAGAGCTGGGATTTAAACCAAATTCAGTTTGGCATCCGCCCACACTCCTAACCACTAGGTGCTGCTGCCCTGACCCTTTTACAAGAACAGGAGCTCACCTGCGTGGGGGTGGACACCTCGTTCTCAGCTGGAGGACTCCTGGATTCTGTGGACAGAAGAAACGGTTGTTATTAGTGATTCACGGGCCCCGGAGTCCTGTCTCAGGCACTTGAAAATCAGAAAAAAGTTCATCTCAATGTTATTTAAAAGAACAGCATGGACTGGGCGCGGTGGCTTATACCTGTAATCCCAGCACTTTGGGAAGCTGGGCGGATCATCTGAGGTCAGGAGTCCCAGACCAGCCTGACCAACATGGAGAAACTCCATCTCTACCGAAAATACAAAATTAGCTGGGTATGCTGGCACATGCCTGTAATCCCAGCTACTCGGGAGGCTGAGGCAGGAGAATCACTTGAACCCAGGAGGCAGACGTTGCGGTAAGCAGAGATCATGCCATTGCACTCCAGCCTGAGCAACAAGAGTGAAACTCCTGATCTCCAAAAAAAAAAAAACCCCAACATGCTGGAGATAACTAATATCAACCATAAAGGACTAGTTATAGAAATTGTGAGTATAACTACACCAAATACAAAAAACCTTTAAAATTTATTTTATTTTTTTATATATATATATTTTTTTTTTTTTTTGAGACAGTTTCTCTTCCTTGAGCTGGAGTGATGACACGATCTTGGCTGCTGCCTCCTGGGTTCAAGTGATCTTCACCTCAACCTCAATGAGTCGGATGCCGGAGCCAGCCACCACCCAACTAATTTTTTGTATTTTTAAGCAGAGACAGGGTTTCCACCACACCCAGCTAATTTTTGTATTTTTAGTAGAGACAGGGTTTCACCATATTCGCCAGGCTGGTCTCGAACTCCTGACCTCAGGTGATCTACCCGCTTTGCCTCCCAAAGTGCTCGGATTACAGGCATGAGCTACCGTGCCTGGCCAATTATTATACATTTTCAGAGATAGGGTCTCCCTCTGTTGCCAGGCTGCAGAACAATGGCATGATGATGGCTCACTGTAGCTTTAACTTCTGGGCTTCAGTGATCCTCCCATCTCAGCTTCCCAAGTATCTGGGACTACAGGCGTGTGCCACCACGCCCGGCCAAAACTATTCTAGAAAAACATTGAAGACATGACATAATGCTGTACGAAAAATGCAAGACAAGAAAAATTCCACGTATTTTGATCCAAACTTTCTAAAGAAATATATTTTTATGATTATTTATTGTGTATACAGTATATATAATAATACTATATATTTGCACATAGGAAGAAGAAAATGGAAAGATACATATCACCAGAGATAAGCACTATTTCAATTTCCTTCTATGCACCTTTTTACAATAAAAAATATATAACAAACAAATATTCATTTGCCTGTGTGGGTTTAAGTACACATTGCAGCAGCAGAGATGTGGACCAGGCACCCTCACGGCTCCCTCCCCCTCCACGGGAACAGTGTTTCTGCAGAAACCCCAAGGCAAGAGGAGGCTAAGCATCCAAGCGAAAGCCTGGGCCTGGGCCTTAACCGTAACAGGCAGTGAGTGGAATGCTCTGGATTTCAAAATATTTTCTTGTCAGCTCATCATTTTTCCATCAAGAATTCTAAAATTCCACAGAATGGTTTATACAAAAATCATGAGCCTCACTGGGCCAGGAGTAAAAGGACTAGCAAGGAGGCGGGGAGAGAGTGACTCTGCTTCTACATGGGGGAGGGTTTCCAGAATTCCTGGAATATGCTGTCACCAGTAAGGGGGAAACCACACACCCGCAGCACTAGAGGGAGTATAAGAATGCATCCACTCTTCCCATTGTACAGAGGGGAAACAGAGGCCCAGAGAGGGAAAGCGACTTGTTCGAGGCCGCACAGCAAGTGTGACCAGAATTGAACCTAGAATTCATGGGCGGGATCCAGTTTCTTATTCCTTTGTGTTCTTCCCAGCTCAGCCCAGCCCAGCAGAGAACAGTCATACACTCATAGCCCAGGGTATCTAAAGCATGACCTGAGGGCATGGAGACACTAGAATGAAAGCTAAAATCAGAAGACAAAGAAGATGGAGCAGGCCTGACTCACACCTGTAATCCCAGCACTTTGGGAGACTGAGGCGGGAGAATCCCTTGAGGCCAGGAGTTTGAGACCAGCCTGGGTAACATAGTCAAACCTTGTCTCTAAAAAAAAAAAAAAGAAAAAGAAGAAAACAAGAAGATGGGGCAGCCCTAAATAGAAAATATGGCTGCCCACGGATGCTCATGCCGCCCAGCAGTTTGCCAAACCCAGCCAGAGTCAGTTTCATCTGGAGCCTTGTAGGCTCCACCTTGCTTGTCGCCGCAGAGGGTTTTTTAAAGGCTCCCCATACTATACTCAAGACAGATGCTTCAGGAAGAAAGTTTCTACCCACAGTCCTGACCCCCAACACCGCCTGTGGCCCAGAGAATGCCCAGTAACCTCTGGAGGCTCAGGTTGCTGGGGTTAAAGTGGGAATGAACCACAAAGCCACAGGAAGAGGGGAGGAGAGACCGTGGGACCCACAGGCTCAGCAGCACCAGGCAGCTCCTCCATGCTGAGCCAGCAGACCCTACTTCACACCTTTCCTCACAGCCTTTCAACCACCCAACAGACAGCTCATCACTGCTCCTCCATTCGTACAGAAACAAATACATAAACCTCACTGAGGAGCCTCCCGAGGAGAAATGACTCACCTCCAGCTGGGTCCCAAACGCCACTCGGAATGGTCTGCAGAGAGAAGCCTAGTGGCTTCAGAAAAGGCTGTGTGTACATCTCCACGGTGTCTGGTGCCAAAAGCGCCCCTCATTCTCACGTTTCACCCTTCCTCATCTGGGGGGGCGGGTGTGGGGGGCCGTTAAAGCAAGGTCGTTTTTTGTTATTAAGACAGGGTCTGGCTCTGTTGCCCAGGCTGGAGTGCAGTAGTGCAATCATAGCTCATTGCAGCCTCCAAATGCTGGGCTCAGGTGATCCTCCCTCCTCAGCCTCCCACTTAGCTAGGACTACACGTATGCACTGCTATGCCCGACTAATTTTTTTTTTAACTTTTTTTTTTTTTTTTTTTTTTAAGACAGGGTCTCCTTATGGTAGCTGGCTGGTCTCTATCTCCTGGGCTCAGGCAATCCTCCCCCCTCAGCGTCCTAAAGTGCTGGGATTATAGGCCTGAGCCACCACGCCCAACCAAGCATCTTTTAAGAAATTATGGTGACGGTTGGCCAGGCGCAGTGGCTCACGCCTGTAATCCCAGCACTTTGGGAGGCTGAGGCGGGCGGATCACGAGGTCAGGAGATCGAGACCATCCTGGCGAACACGGCGAAACCCCATCTCTACTAAAAACACAAAAAAATTAGCCGGGCGTGGTGGCGGGCGCCTGTAGTCCCAGCTTCTAGGGAGGCTGAGGCAGGAGAATGGCGTGAACCCAGGAGGCGGCGGAGCTTGCAGTGAGCGGAGATCGCGCCACTGCACTCCAGCCTGGGCGACAGAGCGAGACTCTGTCTCAAAAAGAAAAAGCTGGCAACCTTAATTGGTCCCCAGAATTGTTTTTGAAATTTTACAGACCCGTGAAATCCCAATGTTTAGGAATCGCCCAGTTGTGCATAGGGATGTCAGGCGGGTAGGCAAGGGGAGGATGCGGGAGGAGGGGCCGTGGAGAGAGGCACGAAGAGTGGAGTGCACCAGGCCGGCTGACTGCTAGATCCTACTGAGATGTGGTGAGAATCCAAACCAAGGCAGAGACGTTTGGCGTGATGTGCGAGCTCCTGGCTGGGTAGCTGGGTGGGTGGGGAGTCTGTCCCCTGGACAAGCAGGGCAGGGAGGTCTGTGAGGGGTGTGATATGTTTGGTTTGGGTCATGCTGAGCACCTGGCACAGGAGGGAGGATCTGGCCAGAAGTCTGGGCCGAGCTGAAGACATGAATCCAGAGCTCGAGAGACAGGCTTGGCAGGAGACACGGGTGAAAGGCAGTCCTGCTGGCATTTATTGCACCCTTGTCATGTGCCAGGCTCTGTGCTAATTGCTTCTCACCTCATTGAAGACTCACAACCCAGCAAGGCTGGGGTTCGGGTTTTTTGAGGCAGGCATTACTATTCCCACTTGACAAATAAGCTAACTGAGTCTCAGTGAAGTACTTCCCCAGGGTCGTGCTGGTCAAGGGCAAGGGCAGCAACTATACCGAATGCTACCTGACTCCAGAGTCAGTGCTCTGCACAAAGTGGCAGGTGATGCAGTAGAAGTGGCGGGGCCCCCAGTAGAATGTTCCAGAAAGCTGCAGAAAACAGGGCCGAGAGGGAATTCGGGGATGCCACATGGAGAAGTGAACAGGGCAAAATCTCTCCAGAAATGTGTAACCAAGGCTCTGTAACCCCAGAATGTCCCACTTGGGAGTGCTGCAGAGAGGAACAAAACAAACTCCTCCAGAATGGACAGCCAAAGAGTTTGAGAAGATAATATATAGCTGGAGGGACTGACTGCTCAGTCCTGGCTTCAGGGCACCCCCTCATGTGCAAATGCAAACCTTTGGCAGTACCTCCTCCAACAGGTGTGATTCCCATTCTTGGGGAATAAAGGAGGGAGTTAAAGGGATGTGTGAGGAGCAAGGAATAATCCCCTTGTGCCTAATGGGCTTTTCCCAGGCATTTTGCCCCATGCCCTCTTTGAAAAGGGGCTCCAGCCTGGCTCAGTGGCTCATGGCTATAAATCCCAGAGCTTTGGGAGGCCGAGGCAGGAGGATCACTCAAGGCCTGTGCAACATAGGGTGACCTCATCTCTGTAAAATATTTTTTAAAAAATTAGCCAGGCATCGTGATGCATGCCTATAGTGCTAGCTACTCAGAAGCTGAGGCAGGAGTTCAAGGCTGGAGTGAGCTATGATTATGCCACTGCACTCCGGCTTGGGCAACAGAGTGAGATCCCATCTCTAAAAAAAAAAAAAAAAAAAAAAGATTTTGTGGTTCCCCCAGACTCAATGTTGATGTGACAGGGAGAACTCCCATCAGGGGAGGATAAATTCAGAACTCCTGCTTGAGAGAAAGCCGCCAACCACGCACCCTGTCCACGGATACCAGCCTGCACAATTTCCATGAGCCGCCCCTGCAG